TGAAAAAATGATTATGTTGAAGGGTCTCATAATAATTAGTCGCATAAGACCTCTTAATTCTCAGGGTCGACCCTGTTTGACGCGACAACCTCCAGCAAAGCTGAAGTTTTTTCCACCTTACCATTTTACAATTTGGAATTGTGTCATGGGGCAACATTGCCTTTTTATATTTGGATGATTGCAAGTCATAATCAAATCAAGTCCATAGTGTTTTTTTGGATTATACTATTCAGAAAAAGGTCCGTGAGTGGGTGGGACGAGAAAGCGCTCAAAATTTCAAAGCGAAAGAGATGTGAATAGAAAGATTAGTATCTTTTTTGGATTTGTTTGCTCATCCATATTAAAATACAGATACAAGTTACAAATGAAAAGAAGAGATAATAATATTTTTCAAGTAAGTGCTCAGCTAAGACGGCGGCACAGGGTAATTCCATCACCCACTGGAAGCATGCAGATCTCGATCCTTGGATCAGCAGCCAAAGCCTTGTTAAGCTCCAACACAAAATCCCTGTAATACCTAACATACTTTCTCATTGGTGCATCTGGTGGGGCCACTACAGACCCGTTCCACAAGGTATTGTCATACCCAATCACTCCCCCAACTTTGACCAGATCAATTAATCTCTTGTGGTAGTTAATATAATTGTCCTTGTCGGCATCCACAAATATGAAATCAAATGTTCCATGATACTTCCCCTGCAATGTTACGCACATTTAGAAAAAAATTCAATTTCAATAAAAAAATTCATAATTTATACTCCATGTATTAAGCCCTTGTTTGTTTTTACTAAAATTCAAAATTTTAGCAAGTTTTTATAAAAGATATGAACGCGTCGCTGAAAAGTTGTGGATATCATTAAATTCGTGGTTAAAATTAATTTTTTTTTAACTATGACTTAAATATTTTAAAAAAAAAAAATTAGCTAAACCAAACTGTACTAAGTTTATGCTGTCCGTGTTTGATTTAGCTAAAAATTAGATTTTTAAGTATATTTTGATACAAATTAATGAAATTTATAATTAAAAAATTGAGAAAAAATTGTTGGTCCAATAAAATGTATAATTAAAACTAATTGTTGACTTTGATTTAAAATTATTTTATCAACTATTAACATCCTAATATTAATTCAAAAAGTAAGTTTGAGATTATTTTTACATCATATTTATAGTCTTGTTAAAGAAAGATAAGGAAAAATAGTTTAGTGGGTGGGTTGGTGAGACTCACATCTTCAATCATTTGATCCAGAACAGGCAAAGCAGGGCCTTCTTTGAAGTCAATTTTGTGGGCAACCCCAGCCTTTTCAATTATGGGCAAACCCAATTCATAATTGTCTCTGTTAATATCCATTGCCAATATCTGCACAATTGAAGCCAACCCACAATATCAAATATTCAATTCAATTTCAATGCCTTGCTTCCCCCCGTTTCATATGCTAAGGATAATCGAAACTCGCTTGAATGAAAGTTGTAAACCGGGTTCTGGAAAATTGGATACCTTCCCATCCTCTGGAAGTGCCAGGGCAGTGGCCAGGAGAGAGTAGCCAGTGTAAACACCAATTTCCATTGTGTTTTTGGCGTTGATCAATTTCAGTAGCATGTTCAAGAACTGCCCTTCATCAGCCGAGGTAGTCATAATATTCCTATATCACAATCAAATCACAAACATTACACCAAGGATGACATATTGAACTAGTAGAATTGATTTGTGGACAAGATAAAAACTTTTCACTACTGACGTAACAAGTTGAGGTTCTCTATGACCATTTCAGAGATCCATAACTAAAATTCTCTTGTCACGTCAGCGGTGAAATGTTTTTATCCTACTCACTGCGAGCATGATTGAACTGGAATGGATAGACCAACTAGAATGATGAAACTCACCAGGGATGCTTGGCAGTCAATTCCCTGAGTTCTTTCATGGCCTCTGGCTCTCTTGGGTACACACTAGTTTCAAGAATATACTACAATAACACAAAAACACTAATCAAACACCCCCACACGCAAAATTCGGATTCAACAAGAAAAAGGGATAAAATTTGGTAAATTATACTGTTTAAGCCTATCTACCTGGTAAAGAGCATCACTTTGCAGAAGGCTCTTGTGGCCAACCTCTTGGTGCCTGCCCTGATCGGCGTTTTCTGCTGCCATTTTCTTGAATAATTTCTTCTGTTTTCTAAATTTTCTGGTAGTGGTGGTTGTCCCTGAGATCGGAAGAGGGGAAATGAATGGTCATATATAGATGGAATTTAGGAACCGGTTCAGACCTGTGGCGTTTTTCTTTTATGGGGTGGTTGTAATTGGACCGCCTGCCAAGCCGGTCGGGGGTTGGTGAAATTCCGCAGACCGGGTCAGTGAGGGCCCAGAAAGTAGTTAGGTGGGTCCTTGAATTCAGCCAACCAATGTTCCATTTTTTCTGACGTCAGGACGATTAAATTATACGGCCTGGATGCACTTTACATGGTGCATTTGCAGCGTGTCAATTCTTTACATGCGTGATGGTAGGAACGTGGTAGGAGAGAGGACATTAGCAAATGGAAAACTGCCACGTGGCAACTGAGTTTGGTGAAAGGTTGGTGAAATTACTGAAAATAGAATTTCTATGTAAGAGAAAGTAGAAGGAAATAAGAGTCCACCTCCACCAATTAGAATATTAGTTACTGTTTGAAAATGTTTATAAACTATTAAAATTATAACTATAAATAAACAAGTAGTGATTAAGAATCTGTTTAAGCCCCATTTGTTGTCGGGAAAATTGTAACAGCAATTTCTACCCTTTCACTTTTTTGTCAACTTTACCTTAATCTTCAATTTATGCTAATGAAGATTTCTAATCTTTCAAAAATATGCAATAGATGTTCAAATTGATGGTTTGGCCGTTAGTTAACCAAAAAAGTCAATATTTGATCAATTTTGACGTAATAAAAATGGTAAAATGGTAACTTGATTACCATTGAACCAAAAAACCAAAAAGATCAAGAAAAAAACCAAAAATATTTAAGAAAAGAAATCAATCACAGCACAACCACCAATTGTCGGTACCACTGTCAAAAATCCAATCACACACCACTGTCGATAACATTTCTTTCTCACAGCCATCGCCAAAAATCCAATCACACACCCATCGTCCTCCAACTGAATCGATTTTTATTGACGATTCCTACTAAACAAATTTCTTCAAAACTTCAAGATATTTCACCAATTGTTTATTGTCCAAAGCTGCAAAACCAGAACAACATTTTCTGTGATTTCCAGCCCCAAATTTTTAACCAATCTGCAGAAATGTTGGGATGGGTTTTGGGGTTTGATGGTAATGGTGGCGATTGGTTTTGTTTGATGGAGGTAGTTGATTTTGGTTTGATGGTAGTGTAGCGGTTAACTTATAGCTCGTGTGTGGAGTTGGGTTTTTGGTTTTGAGTGTAGGTTTGATGGTGGTGGTGGTAGTTGGTTTTGGGTTAGGTGTGGCCAGCCGGTTGGCGATGGTACTGACATTACTGGTGGCTGTGGGAAAGAAGATGGGGTTCGGGGTTTGGAGGAGACAACATTTTTCTTTTTTGGTTTATTATTATTATTATTATTGGTTTTTTGGTTTTTATTTATTTATTTAATGTCGTAATTATCAAGTTATCATTTTTAATTTAGTCAAAATTGATCAAGTTTTGACTTTATTGGTCAACTAATGGCTAATTCATTTGGACATCTACTGCATATTTCTGAAAGGTTAGTGATCTTCGTTGGTACATATTAAATGTTATGGTAAAATCTGCAAAAAAGTGAAATGTTAGGGATTGTTGCAGCAATTTTCCCCCCCTTTTTTGTCCAAGATGTATTTTTTAATATTATTTTGACGAATAATTTGTGATTAAAAAATAAAAAAAAGTTTTAGGTCTGCGTATAATATTATTTTATTGAAAAATGTGTGATTGAAAATAAAATAGAAAAAAATGTATTTTTGAAATAAGGGGTACTTGTTGATTTCTCGAAATGCATAAATAAAAAACTGCTTCAATATTTATAAATAATTTATAAATATGAGCCAAACTTTTTATTCCTTTTTTTAAAATTAATGTCAGCATTAATAATAATGAGCCAAACATAGGCCAAACTTTTCATTCATTTTTTTTTAATTAATGAAATCTAGACTTATGGCCTCACCTCCAGTCTCCGACAATTAAAAAAATCAGAAAATATATTGAAAACAAAATAGTAAACCCTAAAAAATATTGGGAAAAAATCATATATACCCCATTTAAATATAAAATTTCTGAACTTATACACAAATAAAAATTGTTCTTATTTTTTAATTTTGACAAAAAATGGGATTACTCCCTTTTTTTTTTTTTCTTGTAACTGAAATCTAAAAAATATCACACATCATGCTGCATTTATTCCATCCCAAATTAGAGGCTATTTCAAAACTGCATTTATGTAACTTAGTAAAATCTTTTAAATTTTCATTTGGAATATTTCTCGAACTCGGATTTTGAGTTTTCAAGAATTTAGGTATCTTCATGAATGTTTCTTCGCACTTTAGCAGAATTTGATACCAAATTTGCATTTACCAAAAACAAATATATGATTTTTAAAGATTGAAACTGTCTTCTTCCGTGTTTCTTGTATCTATATCAAATTTACAAATTCTAAAAAAACCTTCAATTTATGTCCAAAATCTCGAATTATGTTATGGAATAAGACTTAATTCCGGTCATTTGATTAGCATTATTATCTCCCGTTTGTCTCATTCTCTTGCTATACAATTTTTCTTTTTTGTGTACACATAGCACCACTCTTTAAAAAATCAGAAAATATATTGAAAACAAAATAGTAAACCCTAAAAAATATTGGGAAAAAATCATATATACCCCCATTTAAATATAAAATTTCTGAACTTATACACAAATAAAAATTGTTCTTATTTTTTAATTTTGACAAAAAATGGGATTACTCCCATTTTTTTTTTTTTTCTTGTAACTGAAATCTAAAAAAGATCACACATCATGCTGCATTTATTCCATCCCAAATTAGAGGCTATTTCAAAACTGCATTTATGTAACTTAGTAAAATCGTTTAAATTTTCATTTGGAATATTTCTCGAACTCGGATTTTGAGTTTTCAAGAATTTAGGTACCTTCATGAATGTTTCTTCGCACTTTAGCAGAATTTGATACCAAATTTGCATTTACCAAAAAAAATATATATATATATATGATTTTTAAAGATTGAAACTGTCTTCTTCCGTATTTCTTGTATCTATATCAAATTTACAAATTCTTATAAAAAAAACCTTCAATTTATGTCCAAAATCTCGCTTTATGTTATGGAATAAGACTTAATTCCGGTCATTTGATTAGCATTATTATCTCCCGTTTGTCTCATTCCCTTGCTATACAATTTTTCTTTTTTGTTAGATCCTTTAACCTCGAACTTAATTTCCAATTCTCAGACTTGAGGGCTTCAACTGCAATAGTGTATGTAATGATTTCTTTTTCATACTAATATCAAGACATTGAACATAAACACATTACAAAATTTTGGTGCAATCCCTAATGTAACACACGTATGATATCGGAGAACAGACGTGAATTTGCATGTTTTGGAAATCGGGTAAATGTGTAGTGTTATTTATCTAACGAACATTACACGATAAGATACATTTCAAATTTTAAAAAATGACGTTTCATAACCATAAATATAAATATTGCACTAGAAGTTGCATAATTCGCACACGAAAAATAATTCAATCTAATCAAACAGTTAACGATTTGGAATCTAATTCAAACGTCAACTTGTAATGACAAAAATCACATGGTATGAACAATATGCAACCAATGGGACCAATAACATTACGTCGCGTAAAAATAGGACATGAGCTATTTTAAATTGAAATAAGTGCAATAGTGCTTACTTTTATTATGTTTGACGAGAAATTATAAAAAATGAGTTACTGGCATACTTTGATAAACATACAAATGAACTAGTTCAAAAGATTCTGCATGTTATTGGAAATTCATATTGTTATTATGCACATACATAGAAGAACGGGAGAAATACGGGATAATGCAGAAGTTTCCAAAATTTTGAAAAGTCACACAATATGATTATAAAATAGGTAATAGCATAATGCGTTCACCATAATCAATAATCAAACAAAAACACACAATAAAGTCTGATACAATCCCCAACATAATACAAAGCTTCAATCTTTTGCTTGTTCTTAATAGATCCCATAGATAAGCGACGACTATGGTTCGACGTAAAAAGGCTATCTTCTCTCGATGTTTACCCAAAGAACCCATGGATGACTAAGATTTGAGGTCGATATTATTGGTTTATAACTTCACAATATAATTGAAGGATTCATAATATAAGAAATTTATGTTCGTAGAAATGGAATGAAAACAATGAATCGGGATTGAATAAAATCATTTTTTTTATAATCGTGGATGTTCGGGCCAGTTTGTGCGCATCTTGACTAATCCCACGGGATCCTGAAGTTTACGGCCAGTACTCATCTCAGTAGCTTTGAGAGGACTCGAACCGGTGACCATTGTGGAACAAATCCAAGACCTGACCAATTAAGCAACCTCTTAAGGTTGGGATTGAATAAAATCATGAGATATGAAGAAGAAGATTTTGTGTGATGGATTGAAGAGTTTTTGGATTTGATTTTCATGAATTCTGCAGAGCGTGTGGAATGGGAGTGGATTTGGGTGTTACAAACACATCTTAGGAAAAAGAATGATTTGGGGGTTCAAGCCATTTTCTGCAAATTGGGTCCATTATTTGCGCTTAAGAATCAGTAATTTATTGCATGTTTTAGGAGTGAATCAATAGCAGTATTAACCTATATTAAAAAGTTTGTATGAGTAAGAGTTGAATATTTTAATAAAATAGGTTATCTGGCGTATTTTCCACTAAAAAAAAAATGTCTATACTTGTGGATGTCATCATTGACACCTCAAGTTTGTTCACCAGTGGAGAAAAACCAGCTAGATGCTTGGCACAATCAGACGGAATCTGTTCGGGTCCGTGGAATTAGACAGGTTGGCCCAACGGATGAGTATATCCCACTAAGGATCTGTTTAATTACAAATGTGAAAGATAGGTGGAAAGAAAATATTTTAAACATAATTGAATTGCCTAGAAATTGT